TTTGAATGCAGTGCATACGATTATTTTGACGATTCCAAAGCCCTACACTACACACCGATTCTCATGTATACAGTATATCAACATTTATTTGCTCCGAAACAATTTCTTAATTTTTTTTTTTTTCGTAACATCGAGAATAGACACATCCTTTGAAAACAGGGAATAACGCGCAGTGAATATACACACGTCATCATTCAAAGCACATCGTGTACAAAAAGCACAGGGAAAGACAAAATGCTCCCCCACTCCCACTTTTTTATGAGATGTATTTTCTTTCAAATGTTTTCCATTTATCAGACTTATCATTAATGGATTTTGAAGACAGTTGAACCAATGCATTATTTTTTCAAAAAGGTATGTTGACTTTCCCCTATGCCTTTTGTACACATTGCCTTGCATTGAACGATGAGGGCTACATATTTACTGAGCGTAATTCCCCGTGTTCGAAGAATTTGCCTGTTCTCGGTTTTCCGGAGTTGTATCTTGCTGATGTAGATTACATGGCAGAAACTGAAATTTATCTGTAATTTTAATTATAATTTCTTCACTATCCATATAAATCTTTTTGTGTTTTTGGTATTAGTGTAATATGGTGAGCTTGAGCGAGTAGGGGTGTGATATGTGGGTATTTTTTAAAGGCTCGGATAACTAAATTTAACTTTTTGAAGAAAACTTCTTTTTCCTGACTATTGTATCTTTTTTGACATACATGTAGTATACAGGGCTTTTGTATATTTTATCTTTTCATTTTATTTTGTATTTTCATATGTTTAATTGAATCAAAACGGAAACACAGTATTTACAATTAACTAGAGAATTATTATACACCAAGAGTACGCATTAATAATTTATTAAAACTGTGAATTTTATTTAGCATGTTTATTTTTCCTATTTGTTTACTATTTCTATTCTTACAGAGCGCTATCCTCTGTGAGCCACATGAAAAAAACTCTTCTACATTTTCCATCAGACGAAATCTTTAATACGAACAGCTAGTGAACCTTTGGTCAAAGAATGATGCCCAGCAGTGACAAATTAAAGGAAAGGTTTATATCCAGAGGTATATTAGCTTGACGTGATCAGCTATCAACATGCCGCATTTTAACCGGACACTGTGTTTACGACGAAGAAAGATGGACTACACATGGGTGTTGGTTAATATGGCAACATTTTTGTTGTTGTGTTCTTTCTTTTCAATCATGTTCAGGACGTTTGCCGGAAGCTCTCCACCTATAAGAACTGGCCATTTGGTTGATTGGGATGGACGCGTCTACGTGAAATCGAAGAACAAAACCGATTTCGCAAGAAAAGATTTCTATCACTTTCCCTTCCCGAGGAGTGACATGTGTTTCTTTTCACGTTTTTTGGAAGCAGAAGGAATGCCTAAACTTCATTCGGCGTTCGCTGATCCCGTATCCCACAACGTCGTCTTTATCGGCACGCGTTTTCTCGCAGACAACTGGACGCGCGAAACATTCGTCGCCCATTTTGAAAATGGTCAGCGAAGATTGTGTGATCCTATCGTGGAAGATTTTTTTAGTTTTGGATACATCTCACAGTTCAATATCGTTCTCACTTGCCCGCTTCCACAGTTTCTACACAAGCGTCTTAATTTTTCGCTGAACCTGCAGCGTATTTCGAATGTCAAGAAGTATCGCAGATACGCCTATGACAACCTGACAATTTGTCAATCTGGAGCATCGAAATTTCAACGGTATCTCCTATCAGCGTGCACCATGGTGAGAAACATGGATCACTACCTACCAGAATGGATTGCTTTCCATAGGTATGTGGGTGTGCAACACTTCTTCCTCTATGATAACGAGCCAGAGGAAACGAGTAAACTCCGGAAGACTGTACGTCGGGAGATCGCGGAGGGCGTCGTTACAGTCATACCATGGACACACATTGCCCTGGGACAGAAGACGTATTTGGAAGTCCAGATTGCTCATGAAAACGACTGCCTATGGAGAAACAGGTACCGAACAAAATGGATGATCAAAATAGACGTCGATGAGTTTGTGCAACCAATGAATGCTAGCAAGCGAAAAATTACAGATTATTTGGAAGGTCCATATTTTGAGACGATTGGGGCCGCTAGATTGCAGAACTGGTTTTTCGGCCGCCATGATTTCGATAAGTCAGCGGGGACTACCAATAACTCGATCATAGAAAGAAATACGTGGAGACCAAGCTATCCTTCACCGCAGAACTGTGGCCGGGACAAAAACATTCTTCAACCAAAGTATGTCCATTATTTCAAAATTCATGCCATCAAAGTTGGCGGAGAAGCGGTATCTTTGAATCCACACGACGAGTTACGGTTAGTTCACTACAGACAAGACAATTCACGTGTTAGACACTTTGATCTCCCGCCTTTCACGACTCAGGATGTTAGTATGGTTAAACTTATAGTAAAAGCACGAAAGGTCTTTGGAAATCAAACTAAAGGTTAATTCTATGAAAGATACAATGAGGAGAAAACTTTTAACTCATCATTAAATTATTATCAATATTATTATTGTTATTATTGTTATCAAACTTATGACTTGTATTAGTGTTATAATCGTCATCATCATCATAACCATTATTTGTATTGCTTTGTCAATTAGAAGCTGACTGAAAGCAGTTGAGTGCGAGTCTAGCCATGAACTAAGCTCATATTATAAGTACGTACATCTACCCTTTAAGAACTGAAATGTTAAATCACCATTTAAAAGGGCCGAGGAGTGAACACTCTTTCAAAATGTCAGATTGATAATTTTAACCTGCTAGATTCAACGTTTATAATGTTGAATCAATCATGTTCAAAGTGTTATTCTACCATTTTTGAAAAATTGGTCACCCCTCGGCTCTTTTAAATGGTGACTTAACATTTCAGTACTCCAATTCTCAGGACCAAATTTGAATGTCACCTGTGCGTATACTTGCCCATATTGTGTATGGCGATTGTGGGCAATTTTCAGCAGAGATTAACTGGTTTGTTGTCAGCTTGTCTATTAAAAAAACCCAAATACACAATCATTCTCATAAACTACACAATAATTCTTTCTTTTGTTATAACTTATAATTGTCACATGACTAGAACTCAATTTCAGCTTAAAACGGGCCCCCGACCTTGTCAAAGCGAACACTCTATGACTACTTTTTTGTAAAAAGTATTTCTTTCTGTCTGTTTTTGCAAAATCATTTTAGATTAGGGGTCGGTCTTTTTCGAGGGGGGGGGGGGGGGGGGGGGCTTAAATAGGCTCACATATACATGTAGAATATTCAGATAAAGATTTATTAAACGCCCGCCAGGATAAATATGCAAAGAGGCAATTGTGCAACTGTCCCCCTCCCCCTCTCTTTCTCTCTCTATCTCTATCTCTATCTCTCTCTCTCTCCTTCTTTCTCTCCCTTCTCTCTCTTTCTTTCTCTCTCTCTCTCTCTATCTCTCTCTCTCTCTCCCTCTCTCTCTATCTCACTGGAGGAGGGAGGGGGTATTTAATGGGTCAACACTGTTTACTTCGTGACTTAGTGACTGAACCGCTAATGATAAATTTGGACTATACTATAGGTCATTTCATTTAAAATATCAAATGTGAAAATATTGCACTGTTCATATGTACTTTAATTATCATCATATCTATTATTCAACTGTTACCATGGTTACAAACCTTTGCATTTAGTTAGTCATTAACACATTTGGACTTTGCCTTCACAAGCATGTCACACATAAACTGTTCGCACTTTATTCAGCAATGTTAAACTGGTTATTTGCTTTGCTTGTCATCTTCTTTGTTTGTCTAGCATTTCATTAACATTGTATAACTGCCAATAAAGAATAATAACCATGCATGAAATCATAGCAAGGTACGAGTTCGTAGATTCATGTATACAGTTCATTACAAAACTTGATCGCTAGATCAACCAGAATAATTTGGACACACAATACATTAAATATCTTGTAGTTATAAACAGCGCCATTTAATGTTACATTTTCACATTCCCGTACAAATGCATTACAATTAAATTAATTCAATTATTCATTTTAATGTCATTCATCATGGATATTTTTTGTCATTATACTTCTATTTAGGCGGACTTAATAATTTCCACTCTTACAGATGTTATCGAGCCCACTGATTTCTCTAGAGCTAGCACGTGCTTTCTCGAGATAAAGTAACACCACTACAACAGAGTAATTAACTGACTCATTATCTTAAATTAAGCAACAACAGTATTACAAAAAACGAATTGAATCATTATTGTTATTGCATCTGGTATCATTGAATATGACAATAATAAAATCTTTAAAAAAATATTGTCAGAGGAGAAAAAATTTAATGTCGAACTCACATCTAAAAATATTTGTGTACTTAACGTTTGTTGTTCAAAGAACATAAACGCAAAACAATGAGTAGTGGAAGGTTTAAGAGTGCAGTAAATCATTATACATAGTAGGAGGTAAGGGAATATGAGAAAAAGTGTTCCAGACCAAAATGTATTTTTATGTTAATGAAAGGAACCGAAAATTTAGCAATATCACGATCGATTTTGTTGTGTAAGAAATCATACATTTACACCTGCCTGAGGGCAATTTTACTACCTCATTGTAAAGAAATCAGGTTTAATGGTAAAGACCAGTATTGGAAACGCCCAATTTCAAAAAATGAAATGGAAGCTCTCAATACCAATCATGTGAAAGAATATGTTTTGACTAATGCATGATGATAAAAAATTTACCGGGAAACCGCCTACTAATTCATATATTTGGTAAATTTGTTTCTCTCATGGTCTGTGAGAGATATAGGGTAGTCCCATAAACATCGTTCTGTGTATAGTGCTTGTAACTTTACGAAGAATGGGCCAAATTTCTTATCATTTTGATGATTCCAGAACCTTGCAGATGCTAGATGCTAGATGATCAACCTTTTCTGATCGATTCCACAACGTTTCTTTCACAATGCAATCGCATGACCATAACTGATCTTTACCTTTAAAGTATGCAATAATGTTTGCCGCTACAGGAGGTGCCGCACAAATTTTGTTTGTGTGTTGTTGAGTGTGGTATCTCGTGTGTATATTTGTGTGTGTGCCTCAATCACTCTTGAATTCATTTCTCAAAAATGCAAGGGGTCTTGCTTAGGGTTGCAATTCGGTCTTAGGTTTAGGTTTAATTTTAGGTTTATTTTGAGGTTCAGGGTTAGGTGAGTGTGAGATATAGTAGCACAGGGTTGAAGTTAATACTTCGGTTAGTGTAGGAGACATTTTCACAATAGCTGATTACAAATGCGACAATGGCTTGGTATAAACTGAAAGGATGTGAAAACAAAGTAGACATGATTTTCTATTCCCAATGATTTAATTTCGAATGCTGGGAATCGTTTGGATGTAGACACTTTGTGTAAAATGAAAGCTGTCCTATTTTACATGTAGAAGCGGGATAAGTCCGGCAGCTTCAATCTCATTAAGAGCATTGGTTAATACAGTCATATAACCTCCTGTACGATTCTTCCACGCAATGAGGACCTCCATGACTGCCTTGGGGTAATCGTTATTGAGTTTGACCAATCTGTTCTGGGCCTGGTTTGAAGTGCCCCCAAGCTTCAAGCACAGTGGGCCATACTTGTCATGGGGAAATTCAGTTGCAAGCCTTTGTAACTGGACCTCGGAAACTGGGATATTGGCACTGAAGGAGGAGGAGAAGGAGGAGGAGGAGGAGGAGGAGGATGAGAGAGAGAGAGAGGAGAGCAAAGGGAGTGCGAGAAACAGGGAACGAACGATAAAGAGAGAGAGAAATTTAGAGATAGAGGGAGAAAGAGAGTGAGGAAAGGGATGAGATAAAGGGAAATATAGAGGAAGAGAGAAAGTAGAGAGCAACGGAGACACAAAGGGGGTGAGAGAAACAGAAATAGAATAATAGAGAGAAAGAGAGAGAGAGAAAATAGAGAGATCAATTTATATACATGCAAGAAAATTAAACAAAGACATAAAACATATTAAAAATGAGAAGAAAAAAAAGAGAGAATATATTATAAAAGGCTCCTTTCAAATGAATATTCAGTATTTTATGAATGAGGGCCCCGTTGCATGAAACTCACCATTGATGGTAACTTTGTAATTTATGTAACTTTCATGGAAACTTTGATTTAATTGGCTTCTGAGTGATTTTACTAGCGTAGTTAATATAGATAGCAAAGTTACTATCAGTGGTAGAAAAAAGAAGTTCTTGATCTATGCACCCATGAATTTGTTTAAAAAATAGAACTTCTCATCGTTGAGGTGATTTGAAACATGGTTTGTACAATTTCTAGAAAATAAAATAGGGGATGAAAGAAGTATGGGAAGGGTCTCAATCCAAAGGTTGGGGGTTCGAATAGCAACCCGGCACTAACGTTCTTCGACAAGATATTAATCCACATTTGCCTTTCTCCACCCAGACCACCTGTTATAAAAATGGGTACTTGGCATTTTTATTAATAATAATATCAATAATACTAACACTAATGATATTAATAATAATAATAATAATAATAACCTTAATATTGATAACAGAAACACCTTCAATTAAATCGTTAATATTACATTGACGTACCTCATTTTTGTTGTACTAACCACCAGATGTTTCTTGATTTCAGGAATAGCTGCAAGATATGAAAAATAAATAGTTTGTAATTTGAAGAAAATCTACATGTTATTTAGGTGATATCTACATAGTGTGTCCCATTTAAAAATATAACAAAATACACCAAAATAATTCGTTCCAGTGAACAAATTAATGGCTGTATACATATAATTCTATCCCTTACATATTAAGGTCAAATTGATATTTTTTCAAGTGATACATTCTTTGCATTTATCCATATACGCCTTCGAAGAGCAACATCAATATTGAAAATGGAATACAGAAATCCACTCGTGCCAGATGTTATTAAAACAGTGATACGTACGTTAGCATGGTTAGTGCATCAGAGGAGAATATAAGCTGAAGAAAACACACACATTGAGAAGATTCCTTTTTGTTAAGGGCAAAAGTAATTCGATAATAATTAAGTAGAGAATAATACAAATATTTGAAGACGCTTTAATGGTTAAAAAGTGCTCTAAAAACGCATATATATTATTGATCAATGAGTATGTCTACTCATTAGACTTTTTCCTGCAGCTTGTCTATTTTTTTCACTTCTTTGTGGTTTCAGAACTTTCACAAAGTTGTAATGCGCTGTGTAAGAACTGTTTTATTATCATCGTTATCATTATTATCTTTTTGATGGTGAGGGTAAATAGAACAGATTTATTTCATACAAATGGGTCTGCTAATGTTATGAACATTATAAGGATTATTGATATCAGAATATAATTTGAAGGCATATTACCTCTACTGTAGATGAAAATAAGAAGTTACCTACCTGAAAAGCCGTTTCGACTTGTTGCAAAGGCCCAGTTTTTATTTCTCACTGGCAAAGAAGTCAGCTTTTCTGTGTGTTGGTACATTAACAACTGATAGTAGTCTGATAAAATAATTCATTACAAAAAAAATATGACAGCAGGAAAAAGCTGGACCAGAGTCCAATCTGTTCCTTTGAAAACAGACCTCTCAAGGCCTTATCACTCTTTTCCTTGTAAATGCATATCAATAATCAGAATACATATATCGTATAATTGTTTTTTGGTGATAAATATTAACAGCGTCCATATTTGATTAGGTATGCAATGAACTTGTTAATAGGTTATCAGTTAATTTATTATTAGAATTTCAAAGTACATATTGCAGAGTGATTAGTCTTATAGATATATCAGACGTATCGAAACCAAAGTCCTAGTTTATTGGCCTCAGACAAACAATCTAGAACATAAAATTTCATACAAAATTAAAGTCTATCTAATTCAGTTTCTAAATCTTAAGATTTTGAATCCTAATGTGCGCGGTTGCTAATATTCCTATAATCTTCCAAAATTACTTTTACTTGAGGTTTCTAGGTTGAAAAGTAGAAACCTATTAATCTTCCCTAAGTTCGTAAACTCACGTCACACGTATGTGCACTCTAGGTAAATGGCTACAGCCATAGAGACCGATAGTTTTCCATCTTTCCCTATGTATTTTGTCCCCTCTGAGTGCGTGTGCGTGCGTGTGTGTGTGTTATCTTTTGTATATGTTGGGTTGTTGATCTTGTAGAAAGCATACGAAGCAGCCAGGTTAAGTATTAAAGGCTCATAAACAGATCGACTCATCAAGAAGGGAGATTATTTAATAAAATATTTTGTGTAAATATGATCGACTTTTATACAAATAATACACAGCAATGAGGGCATAAATAAGAATTACCCACACTGTTTCGAAGGTGCCGAGTGTGGGTAGTTATACCAATGCCCGAAAAAAATGATGTGTATTATTTGTTAGAAAATTGATGGTTTAATTGTTTTATAAAATGGTGTTTTATAACATGATTTTACTAATGACACGCCATTAGTTATTTGCTAATGACCGGTCATTATCAAAATTACGTGTTAGGCAAAATAAATGCCTGGTCACGTGTACACTCTCAACCTATCATTTTATTAGGATCCGCTTCATCATCTTGTAAACTCAACTAACGCATTCCAAGTCCAATTAACTATTTTATGCAAACATTTTCAATTTTAATCAGTACTCATGTGAATGAAGAAGACTTGTATTTCGAAGAATTTAGTCTCTTTGTTTTGCCACATAATCTCACTGTGCAAAATTGTTTTTATCATTGGATAGATATACATGAGGCTTCCAGATGATGTAACGGTTTCCCTTGCAATATTATAGTATTAATGACTGCTGTGAGAGAAATAGTTGTTTTTATACGCTCAAGGGAAGGTTAGAATTGTGCTATTGCCCGAGGCGTGCCGAGGGCAATAGCCCAATTGTAACCTTCCCGAGAGCGTATAAAAACAACTATTTCTCGAATATTAAAGCAGTCATTAATACTTTTATATGCCGAAAAAAGAGTCAACTTATGACACCATCTGGGCCTTCATCAAGTTTGTCTGCACGGTTGTTTCTTATGACTGTATCTTTGAGAGTAGACTAAAAAATATATATATATTTTGTTTGTTTTTGTTTTTGTTGAAGATGGGATTCGATCTCTTGCGTATCATCGATGATGTGACTAAAATCACAGCCTTAGACCGCTCGGCCATCGCGCACTGATACCATACCTAGCAGTTTTCTCTGATGTATACATTAAAATGGATTGAAAACGGCTTCGGGTGCTGGATGCTTCGCGGCAGCTCCATTAAACGGGCCCTTCTTTTACTTTTGCAATGCATTGGCACGAACTTAGATCAAGATCTATCGGCAAATGTTGTTTTTGGAAGTTTATTTTCGTCTTCATGTCACCAATGCAAAATAAAATTGTCGGTAAGATCGATCGAGATTCAATTGTATTGAAATTACTGACCAATTCATCGCACACGTACGGTATCCTCGATCGCTCAGACCATTTTTTGACATGTAAACCTATGGGTATTTCACCAAGACTGAACTATTTTCCCAGTAACCATGGTAACTGGGATTTTCGAACTATTTTTTGAACTATTACATGGGTTTGGAATTTTACCGGGAATTTTACAGGAATAGTTGAAGTTTATGAATGCAATTTCGACCAATCAGATGGCTGGATTTCTTAAGTGAGGTTTATAATAATCTATACTAATGGTAATTCGGTTGAAATGGAGCTAATCAAGACATAAAATAGGTAATTTTGGGTCAATTGGTGTCTATTGTTTTGTGAGAAATTGTATGTGAGACAAACAAACGTCCATTAAAAGAAATGCGATGAAAGAGTTAAGTTTCTGTGTAGTGTTTATTTCATTTAAAGGAAACATACAGCTGAATAAGTGCAGACAGATTCGATACATATAATAACTTAAAGTGCAAAATACGCAGGAATTGTGTAAAAACAACTACTTGAAGATTCCTGGTATAACTTACACTTACCGCTGGGAGGGGATTGAATGGGGCGGCTTGATTACCGTGTTAGATGTATTTTGTGTTCTTTAGGCGTCTACAACTTTACGACTATAATTAGAATTGCTTTTTCTAATTTTGTTTATTTTTAGTTCACTTTTAATTTAATTCCCCTGGATCCCAAAGAAGAACAGTCTTTTCATATTAACAAAGCCATTTACTCTATTCTTGATTTCATATTTACTCTTCTATTTTGTTGCATTGTTTTATATTATGATTTGGCAGATAGATTTCAAATTATAACATGCCACTGTTTAATAACACTTAACATATAAACACATAATTTCATTTTTCTTATGAGCAATCGCAAACCACCTCGCTCTTGTGATTGGTCACCAAATGAGTTAATGAATTTAAATGTACTTGACACCAACATATATCTCTCTCTTTCTCTCTCTCTCTCTATATATATATATATAATACAAATATAAGAAAACACAATCACAAACAAAACTTAAAATTATGTTTGATGTGGGAAACCTTCGGCGATAATGGTGAAAAGTCTGAGTTGAGCTCGACAAGAAAAGATTAAATTTAACTTAGATGTTTCACTTTGCCAATTTTCAGGGGCTAGCCCAACAAATCAATGTATTGGACCCTTTTATGACATCCATGCAAGAAGAGACCTTTAAAACCTCGTCACTTAAGATAACGCTATCGTCTATGCCTTTCTGTTATGCCATGATATATTTGACATGAAATTTCGGTAGATTCGAAGAACAATAAAAAAAAAAACCTGCCAAAGTTAGAAGTAAAAATCTCTCAAATGACATCGTTTCATCGGCTGCATGCCCGCTAGAATGCCGTAAGAGCCATATATTGATAATGGCAGTAACGACCATCTTCATCATGTTCATTGTTTTTACAGGCAGCTAAAGAAGTTTTCGTGGTCTTAACTAACTGAAATCCATGTAGATGTTCTTTAGTAATGCTGCCCGGAGATCCTGGACACGCATCCTGGATTCTGAGCCTGATTCGACCCGGGAGTCCTGTTCCTGCATGCACATATAATTTCGGTGCCTTTTGAAATACTGACCATGCCATCAGTTATAGATATAACCGAACAAACGGTTCCTTCAAATATTCAAATAGAATCATAACTCTGAAGAAATCGACTCATGTTGTAATATTCTGTTAGTGTCTGAGAGGCGCCAGGCTATCTGTTTTAAACATAGGCTTAAACCAAAACTCGGTACCTTCGAATGATCAAAACCCAGTTTACATTCCAGAGACATCAACCTGTCTCGTCCTCTAAAAGTTTCACTTGAAATCACAGGTGTTCATCGGCAACGAGTCTCAAATCGGCTTTCACCAATGCATCACGAAGCTCTGCGACCTGTTTCGCGCTGGGAGTCGTGTTCCTCCATGCAAATAGCATATTCTTGGTGCCTTTAGGAGACACATTGCCATCAGCTCGATTAGTGGCAAGAAACATTTCCATCTTGGGTCGTGGGAAACCTAGATGTAGTCCAAGCGTCATCACATTCTCGTTGACCCCCAGAGCCTCCCCTATCTCGTTCAATTTGAGGTCCGTCAGAGGAGGCATCCTGTCTGGTTGGATAATAACAATAATAATAATAGTAATGATGATACTAAAAATTAAAATCGTAACACGTTCGTGTCAAATAAAAGAACCTCTCTGGGACTATCCAGAACAATTTGTTAAAAGACTGTAGCTTCTAGGGTATAGTTGAGATTGTTAGGGCGAAAGAAAGGCCTAAAACGGACCGAAACGGAAAAAAATGGCGCCTGGAAGACCACGCCATTACGCGCGCCATGGCACTAACGTCACACACACACATATATATATATATATATATAACACACATATTTGATATACGTTGTTAAACACGCAGAAAAGAAATAATCACATAATGTGATCAATAAGTCACTTTCTTGTTTTTTGTAGCCTCTCTATTTTTATATACGGTGTGTAATACTAAAATTATGCTACATATAAGGTATTGTCTTTACCGTACGGGTTTAGATGCAACTAAGTCATATTAAAACAGGCCTTGAACGGGGCGAAGCATTGGAACATATGGATTTTCGGGTGTCTAAGGGCATGTACTGTATAGCAAGATGGTGAACCTAAAATATTAATGCAAAGTCTTGAAAGGCTACATCTTGAGTACTCCGTTGTATGGAGTCGAAACATGAACCTATGCATGGAGATGTGGTACTTATACGGAGAATTAATAACACAGTACTGCGCGTTATGACAAACGGATAATTTCATTCCAATTATTTATACTGCCGTTATGCTACGCCAGTTAAACACAAAGCGAGTTACTAAATTACTAAAGATGTTATGAACACAATGATGAACAGACATGATTATACTTTGCCAATGCTGCCTTATTCACTATAATGAGAAGGTCAATAGGTAGGTTTCAAAAGTGGTAAGCTACACCAGTCAAACACAAAGCCTTTTCAAATACGAAATATTCCATGCGAAACTGACAATAGTTGGTTCTCATTATAAAGGTCAGGAGTGTCAGACTTGACATCCCTGGCGCTACACAATTAATACCCCGGCTTTAACATGACTGCCATTATGTCGCTCTACAATAGACCAGTTCACGGTTAGCACATTACTGCAATGACCCCGAATATCCACAGATCTTCAAAACATGAAGAGGTCCCACTTTTTACATTGTGAAATAATCATTCCTACAGCGATGAAGGTGCTATATAACATAGCCTTTGTTTTCCCCTTTGAAAGAATACTTCCACCTGTGTACCATGGATTGCACTGAATGTGCAAGAATGAATAACGATTACATAACTTTCATGAGCACGTATCCAGTATTTCGTCTCCGTGTATTTCACAATTTGTTCTGCAATGACCTTGATCTGCTCATGCTCAGACTGCAACCGTGAACTCGCTTATTTAGAGGATTTCATTCCTACCAGGTACCCATTTACTTCACGTTGATCGAGTATGGCAAATGAACAACCATATACGTGATACACAGTCCGGTGATTTTGAAGAAATGTCTAATACTCAGGGACATATATATACCAATAATGGATGGTTAGAAACTAACAGTTTTCGCTATTTGCTTATATTATCAATATAAATCAACATACCTGAACCTGCAATGCTACTCTCTGCCATGTCTTGTCTTTGCCAGACAGAAATCGTGAAAGACGAAACGTTATATTTTATTCACAGTGATATGGCAATGGCTTCTCCATAAGGAAAGCAAATAGCAATTAAAAGATATGATCAAAGTCCCATTCAAACGGGCGAAGATACAGTGATCTGCCAACGGAGGTGACGGGGGGGGGGGGCGTTGCTCCTTTTTGGGAGGTTTAGGGGCAGGGGGTAGGAGCGGTGGCATAGCCCGACTCCAAAGATTTAGGGGGCGCTGGAACGACGAGGGGGCGGACTGGTCTTACTCCGAAAAAGACATCCGAATTTATAATGCCAAAGCTTAGGGGAAGGTATTAGGGTGACATACGCATCATTATCGACTTATTTTGTTCTTGTTTGCCTTTTTCCTTGTCGTTCCTCTGTTTTCTCACGCTTCTTTCATTCATTTAACCGACTGCTGCCACGCCATTGATAGCGGAAATACAAAGTGGTCGGGAGCATTCATTGAATTGGATACGCATTTAGTAATGATCCCTTTTTCAGGGGGAGGGATAAAGGTTTGGCACTTTTGCTTTCAAGTCTCGACAGCTTAAAACAAAAAATATTACTCTTTCATTAAATACAGTACTGATTAAAATAATATTCATTCATTAATTTATAATTTCCTTTACTCAGTTACCAAGCAGTGACCCCTGAGCTCGTACTACAAAGTCATGCATTCGACCTGAAAGCTAACTACTCTGCCCAGATAGATAGGGTGGTATTCTCATAAGTTAAGCCTGGACTAAGTCCAGACTAAACAAGACTTTTAGTTCACACTTCTATAGAATGCTAGGTTTCATCTTCCTCCTTCAATATTCATGACAAAGATAATTTACCAAAGACTTTGTTGAAAATCAGTTCATACTCATATTATATTTTTCTTCCCATTTCATGGCAAAATTATTTTTTGGGACACTTTTCATTGAAGGATTAAAATAATCTGTAAAGGTTAAATGAGTTGGCAACTGGCACTCCATAAAAGTGTGAACTAACTAAGTACGCTCTAACTTAGTACGCGCTACCGGAACACCACCCATAGTCTTCTCTGTCTTTCCCTTATTCTCCCGCTCTCACTTTCTCCTTTCTCGTCTCAGGCTACATACAATTCAAACTTATTTCTATCCTGCTACATATTGCTGCATATTGTTAGAATAAATGCATAGATCTACTCGTACTGTCATATACGGTAATGGCAACTTTAATAACATAAACAGGCCTCTTCAACCAAACTATTGTGTAGCACGGCTCCAGTCGATTTGAAGGACCACTGGCAAGGTCTAGCCATTAAGGGGGCACTAGTCGGAGCGGTTTACCATGCATACTACAATACAAGCGGAAAGGTGCGGGATGGGTCTTTTCGGATTTTTTTTTAAAAGTCCAGTTTTACCTTCTCCCCAGCTCTTTGCCCGGAATCTCTTTTGTTCCCTCTTCGTCATTTGCCACACTGTATCTACGGAAGTGTGAAGGATGAACTAACAGAGACCATTTCGGTGCGGGGAACGGTCAGGGGCTGGTCCTGGTAGGATTGATGTCAAAACTAACTACATTTATTCCTTTAATGCCTTCCAACAAGAAATAAAATATATTCGACCAATATAAGATTTTCACTCGTTTAATTTTAAAAGTCCATGAGGAAAAAAAAATGACATGTGATATTCTGAATAAGAAACTATCGATTATATTTAATCACAGTGTTATCTTCGTCCTCACAGTAGTGGATTTTCTATACTACTACTACCACTACTTTTAGGCCTTCTATACTACTACTACTTCTTCTTCTTCTTCTTCTCCTGCTGCTTCTATATACTAATGATAATAACAACAATATTGGTGATATCCATAATAATTATAATGATAATAATAATAATAATAATAATAATAATAATAATAATAATAATAATAATAATAATAATAATAATAATAACAATCATAATGATAATATTTATAATAATAATAATCATAGTGATAATAATAATAATATTATTAATAATAATATTATTAATAATAATGTTAATAATAATAATAATAATAATAATAATAACATGACATTATTCATAATAAATTGTTTTAATTAAAAATATATAAAATAAGCGTTGATAAGAAAATATAACCATTTCCAGGAGTTTGTAGTAATAAATATATCTAATAATTTAAAAATTAGAGGAAATACAATATTATAAGACGTAATTAGACAGGGACAAAGTAAAAAATGAATCAATCACAGACAAGCTATTGTTGAAGAGTAAAAGAAAGAATCTTATATGCACCAGAGGAAATACAAGACATGGCGAAGTTGCTTTGGTACTGTAATGGCAGCACAGCTAAAGCCTGGGTAATAATCTCCAAGTTTAAAGCGCTTAAAGACTTAGTTGTTATTGACGCTATATACAATCTGAGTGTTATTATCATTACTATTATTATTATTATTAAGTTTTGAATTTTTTTATTGAAAGAATACATGTTAGTTTAAAGGGTCCCTGTACATAGTTTATGTTTTAGCACTTTGTATACATTAAAGAAATGGGCAACTATAACTATAGAAATAAACATGACAATACCAATTTATATACAAATTCAATGATTTAGGACACCAGTTGTACGTAGTTGTACAGGGACAAAATATAACATTTACCAATCACAGACAATTGTGACAACGTGAATCGAAGCGAACGTCTATCCCGCTCGTGAATGCATATAAAATAATATTGTTATTAATGGTCGCCGCCCCGACAATTGCTACAAACGTTTTTGTGTTTGGTTCTAGGCAACAACAGCAACATTTGCAACAAAATTGGCATGTTAGGTTGGTATATTTCTCCATTTTGACAATATTGGTATCAATGTAGGACGGCCCTAACCTTTTAATGAAAAATGAGACCCTTAAAATTACTTATAAAGTATATCCGCTATCAAATCCCCTGCTTCTGAGGCACTCAAAGCAGCTTCTAGTTCTGAGCAAGGGCCACATGTCCTGCTCTTCCAGGCCATGAGGATTTCCATCAAGGCACTCCGGTAGTCCTTGCAGTGTTTCATCAGGATGCCGTTGGCTTGGTGCATCCCAACGCCTAATATTTTGCTGAAGGATACGAAGTTTGCAGTTGGAAAGTCCTTCGAGATCTTGTCCAGTTGCTCCTGGGAAACGTTCTCGTTGATTCTTGTTCCTCTGCCACTGTTATTTGAAGAAAAGAAAAAAGGATTCTAGTTTGAATGGAGGAGGACGACAGACTGGCAAATAAAGCGATGAAAAGGAAGCGAGTTATTTTGGATAGAGAAAGCACTATTTTACGTAACCAAATTAGAACATGAAAAATCGTGTACTGTTTTTAGAAACGTTTCCATGATTTTTAGTCGAGCACCATTTAATAGGGGTTTCAAACCATACTCCCTCGTATCTTCAATTATAACATGGAATCAATTGGAAAGATCATTGAGAATGGCAAGCTCTATGAACACCTTTAAATACATATTCAAACAATCTTGCAATATCGATTCCCAATAAGATAAGATGACAAGATGAATTTTGTTTAGTGTCTCTACTTCAGTTTTACTTTAATTCCTTTTTAGCTTTCCAGCACATTTCTCTTGTAAAAATTAAACGATTAGTTAATTATGCCGTTGCAGAACAACTTGATAAAATGTATTATTCATAAACATCCTTATTGCTAGGAAAATTTCGCCTGATGCTTTTTTGTTGTTCACTTTGTTTAGGATATGACATTTGTAATTTTCCTACTTGAAAAAAAATGTTTGATTGTCTCTTTTCTTAGCCCTGAATGTCAGACGATATAATGCTTTTCAAACTTGAAGAATGATTTCATATAACTGATTATCAGTTATAAATGCATTTGTATTTTTAATGTTATTTAAGAGTGTACATTCATTTTCTATACTACATCACAAGCATTAATTTGGCATATTATCCGGTAATTTACTATTCTGTAATCTTTGTTGTTGTTGTAAGTATGTACATAACAATTTTGGTATCCCTAATGTCTTTCTTAACTGAGCCTAAGTAGTTTCTATAATTTGCTTAAGAACTGTATCTGTTGCCTTTTTTCAAAGTCTAATACATATCGAACTATAGTTACTTTTCATCGGATTTAAAAACTAATTACCGTCTATACTAAAATGTTACATTAAGATATTATAAATATGCAACAACGTTTTCTTGAACGAAAAAGCATGGCAAAACTAAAATAAACAAACCATTCATTCATTACGAGGATACCGAATACTTTGTATATATGTTTATACATGTTTTTACTTATTCTTTATTGCTGTTATGAATTTATGTTCATGATTTTGTTATTATTATTATCATTATATATATATTTGTTAAAATATTTTTCCCCATTATGTTTAACAGGGCCTCATGTAAGACCACCGATATTGCTAATAATGAATCACCCTGTCTATATCATAAATAAATAAAGAAAGAAAGGAATTTAAATAAATTGGGGAAATGGTATGAAAAGAAAAACAAAACAAAAATAAACCAGAACAAAACAAATAAACTAAACGAAGAAAACACATCTTTGTCTGATTTGTAAAAGTAGCCAAACATATTCCATTTGGTAATAACTTTATCTCAAAAGGAGAGGTGTAGTTGAATTCATAATACTGATCTAGTACCTTATACATACCTTCTAACAGGTTCTGCCGGGTTCGTAGCACTGTTACGAAGGTGCTCGTCGGCAACGAGCCTCAAATCGGCTTTCACCAAGGCATCACGAAGCTCTTTCACCTGTTTTGCGCTGGGCGTCCTGTTCCTCCATGCAAATAGCATATTCTTGGTGCCTTTGGAAGACACATTGCCATCAGCCCGATTTGTAGCAAGAAACATTTCCACCTTGGATCTTGGGAAATCAAGATATAGTCCAAGAGTCATGATATTCTCGTTGACTCCCAGAGCCTCCCCTATCTCGTTCAATTTCAGGTCCGTCAAAGACAGCATCCCGCCTGGTTTAATGGTAATAATAATAATATTTTGTGAAGTTATAATAATAATATCAATTATAATAATATTTTGTGAAGGAATAATAATAATATCAATTAAAATAATGATTACAATAATTATATCAATTACGATAGTGGTCTCTTATTAAAGAGCTCAAGAGTGTCAGACTTGACACCCCTGGCGCTACACAGTCATTAACCTGGCTTTAACATGACTGCCATTATGCATGCTCTTAAGCTATGGTCACAAATCAGAGCAGCGACCGACCGATCAGTAGCCTGCTCGGTCGCTGCTGGAATTAAGCATCGCCCAGCAATTAGGTCGGTGCCCGGGCGGCGACCGCCCAGGCACCGAGCGTATTTTGGGCGGCTAGTGAAAAATGAGCAGGCGCCGCCCAAATTTTAACTCCGCGCTAAAACTTCAGCGGCGACCGAGCGATGCCCTAAAAACGAGCGGTGCCTGGGCGGCCGCCGCTCGGTGGCCGGGCAGCCGCCGGGCAAAATTGGTTAAAAACTCGCCGCTCGGCCGCCGAGCAGGCTACTTTTGGGTAATGTGACAATAGCATAATGTATGCTCTTGGCTTTCACAGACTAAAATCGTGACAGAAGAAACATTATATTGCATATACAGTTGTACACAGTATACAGAGCGATACGGCAATGATTCTCGAGTCCATAAAAGAAAGCAAATGACAAAAAACAAGAGAGCAAAGTCACTTTCACCCACGCGAAGACACAGCGATCTGCCAACGAGAACGGTGGGGGGGGGGGCGTTGTTACATTTTGTGACGGTTAAACCTATTTTAACTGGGCTATTTCAGACCAGGTTTTTATTGGGGGGGGGGGGGGCAATTTGACCCCCCCCCCCCTAAGATTTCGGCCGTTTCACAGCCGATCGCAGCGAAAATTTGCAAGCATATCAAGTGAAGTGTGTAGAATACTATGGAAATTTCAATTTTTTGAAAAATTTACTCATTTGCATATTTATGGTAATATATGCAAATAAGATCATAACATTTTCATTTTTACCCATGTATCATATATAATTCATATTTAAGCATTCTTTTTCACTACATAAATTCGTTAGACCATTTGGAATAAGAATACGACAACAAAAAATGGAAATGGAAGAGCCAAGTTATTCCTTATGTTATCTCTTGCTTTGATAATTTGTAAGTTATGTATTTTATTGTTTTGTTGTTTTATTTCATTTATAACTAAAATTCAACTATTTTGACCCCAAAATAAACACCTATACTTTAAAGAAGACCAAATAACCAATGTTTTATCTCTTCTTAGGAAAAATGATATTTCCATATGTTTTGTACACAAATCACAACAAATGAGCGATTTTCGGGCTGACATGCAAACACAAAAATTCACGTGAATTTGTAACTATACGTCCGATTTAAAAAAAAAAAAATGTTTTAAAAGATGCGTAAGACTCGAAAGAAAAAAGTCGCGAAAGGAAAACTTAATATCTGACGCGGTTCCGGACTAGTCTCTAAATTACTACAGGGGGGTCAAATTGCCCCCCCCCCCCCCAGTTAACATAGGGTTTAGATCCTGGGGATATGAGCAGTGGCGCAGCCCGAGTTCATAGATTTATGGGGCACTGAAACGATTGGGGGGGGGGGGGTTATCTGGGGATCGATGTCCGGGCGGTAGCTGTCCAGATACGGTATGAAATTTGTTATCTTGGTTATGTTTTAGCTGTAGGTCCTGATGCTAATCTCAAAGTACATGTTAATTTCAGTTTGTAGGCCACTTAAAAGGATTGGGTAACTTTGTCTCAGATTCTCAAAATAAATCCTGGATTTAGCTCATGTTGCAATGATAATTATAACCTTTTAGTCAGTAAGGAACCCCATGACTTTTACAAGCCGATCGCCTGTCTGATTTTCAAGATACGAAATCGAAATTCAAAAAATCGTTTTCCTAACGGTTTTTATAACACTACAGTCTATTGGGAAAAATGAGTATAGTAATACCGGTCACTCAAAGATTTTTTTTCATTTTTAGGTACTTCATGATCATTTTAAGAATATACTAAACATCACTCCAAGAAATAACTTTATTTATTCTGAGAGATTTAGTATAATCTTGCCCATTTATGTACAAGATTCCCCATCAAAATATATGGGAGAGGCATAAAGCAAGAATAATGTACAGTTTCTCAGCACGACATGGGCATCGCCATTTTCTTGATAATGTGACGTACTATGTGAAGTCTTTTATCAAATAAATGTATTAAAATTTATAGATGATTCTTTCCCAGGTGTGTGCGTTGATGAAGCATTTTATTCACCTGTTATTACATTAAATGTACTAAAATTTCCAGAACGCAAATTGCACTAATAAGTCGGTGAAGCTAACTATCTAGTCGACCGCTACCACAACTATCAAGCTGGGGTGAATGTTTCTCATTTATGAATTATATTTGACAACTGCTATAGTATACTAAAGTATCGTTTCCCTGTTATATCCTTTTAATCAATTTTAATTTTTATATTCTCAGCTATGATTTTTCATCATTGAAAAGTAAAGGTTTTGTTACTGATTAGAAAAAAGTCTTTCCAACTAACGCTTGGTGCACAATACATGTATAACTTCAACTGGTACGTCACATGTTCAAGAAAATGACTGCACCCATGCCATGCTAAAAGGCATCACATCTTCATCTATATATCTCTTGTTCATTTCCGTAGGGAATATTGTACATCAAAGGGCAGGAATTATATCTCATTTTTCAGAATACCTAAACTTATTCTTCGGGGTGAGGTTTCCTTTTAAGACAATTATTGTTTACATGGTAGGAACAGATATCTATTTTTAGAGAAAGTTGAAATGTCTCTAACCAAAATGATTTGATTACAATATCAACAATTCCCATCAAAGTATAAACAAGCTGTTTTGTATAATAGAATAGGCCTAAACGGATTCCAATAACAAGAAAGACTATGTAGTTTCATTCATCGCTTAAATATAAACATAACGGGAAGTTTAAAACAAAAATCCGTATCTGGATATAGTATGTGGACCCTAAATGTACCCGAATTGTTTGCGTTTGTTCAGTGGTAATAATGCACGCATCCATATGAATCACATGGGATTGCAATTGCATGAACGTACTTAGTTAGGGGCCTATGAACTACTTCGAAAAGGGAATGCCTTCTATTTGAACCAGGAACATCGATGTGACAAATATCTGTTCACAGTTAGCGGTTATGTAGGGTAAAGTACGAGTTACTCTATTGTCTGAATTTCAATGACATGGGTGGTTTGAGATTAAAGCGACGGATGAACACCAAATATTAATTGTGTCCATGCAGTTCACATTGGCACTGACACTACCCTCATAGAGAGAGAGAGAGAGAGAGAGAAAGACACACACACACACATACACAGACGCACATGTGTGTCTTTATCGTGGGTGTGTGTGTGTGTGTGTCCGTGTGCGTGTCTGCGTGTGTGTACATGTATATACTGTATAATTCAACAGTAATTGTAATAATTTCATGATCTTATTTTTCATGAACTCTACTGGAAAAACAAATACTACATTATTTACCCGTTAGTAGTCCAGAGGTACGCGATGCTGGGTTTCTTTTGGTAGGTTCGGTCACAGTATCTATATAACAATCATAATAATAATACTAATAATACTAATAGTAATACCTTATTTATAGATTGTAATTTCCACGTATGTTCATATGCGTTTTACAATTAAGTTATTAACAGGAAAGGTGAGTTTTTGTTATTTTCTTTAGGTATTGAGAGATCGGTGGTTGCGAGGAAAAGAAATATAGTGTTGAATTTAATACAAATGGAAACACCTTTTTAGCATTGGAGTTATGCAAAATTAGGGAGCATTTAAAAGAAATTAACCAATTGCAATTTTAAATTGAGGCCCGAAGATGTACAGATAATTACATTTGGTAATGCCCATTAATCATTCTTATTATCATCATCATCATCGTCATCATTATTTTTATCATTAGACGTAGTATTTTTATAATCATTATTATTTAATTATCGGTATTGGTAACAACATATGTATGTTTTGGTTGGGTATCTACAATCCAACTTTTTCAAGGTCTATGTTTAAATCATACACTATAGAGACACACCATCATGAAAGTACATTGCATAAAAATATCAAATCAGACATTCTAATCATGATAATAATACCTATTATTATCTATATTGGTGTGTACGCAGAATTATGCTTGGGGCGGAGGGGATCGAATGCTGACGTACCCTACCAAAATATTACGTGTAACATTTCTAAGAGAGAGCAACAATGTTGAATGTAAGTTGGTCCTTAAATGATTTACTAGATGCAATGATAGAAGGCAAACAGTTCACTTTTAAAATGGGATTTCTTTTCTCCGAATATTGACCGTTTCATGATTTTGAGGGGACTGCTCTCAGCACTCCCATCTCCACATTAATAATAAAACGGAGTAGTTCGCGACCTTATTTTTCTTTTTCTTGGGTGTAAGAAAATTCGACGTGAAATTGGATGGCAGCCCTGCGCTCAGTCGATGGGTTTAGCAATACGTTATTAGGCAAAGTGATACGTTCGAATCTTTTTACGTCTATTTAGAGCCAGAAGGGCGTCAATCATGGGTTAAAGAATATGAATTGACGCCCTCCTGGCTCAAAACTTTCAATTTATTTAGATAGAACTTAGAAGTACTCTGTACTAACCAGCACCGTCCTCCGGAAAACATTCTTCGAGTATGTCATTCCGTTTTATCTTTACCAAGGCATCAATCAAGGTCTGTCTCATTGTTGATGAATCTTGTCCTTTCATCCAGTCTCTCAGCAACTCCAACGACCCCATATGTGAATGATCTTGGCTGTTCCTTTTCTGAGCACTTTGAATATCATACGAAGGAATTTTTAGTGCCTTTCCGAGATCATCTATTTCTGCATCTTGCTTTGTTCTTCTGGCAACTGCTTTCAATTTATCATCGAAATCTTGCCTGTTTGTACCCGCCATTCTAGATGCATATATATATAAAAGAACAGGGGGAAATAGTTAAGACTTCCACTGAGGTCAGTTTAAAAAAAAATTGAACGAATAAATAAAATTAACTTGTTAAACCGTTGACCCTACACTGTTGACGAAAAAATACCCATAGCAGATTTCGTTTTAATCAATTTCGGGTCAATTATAAAAAAAACCTCATTGAAAAAGAAAATACCATAACTTTCTTGATTTGTCTTCATCCTATGCAGATATTTACATTGCATGCAGGCAATGCCATTTTATTGTCAAAAATAATTATTGAGAGCAACGACAACCTAAACTTGTTGGATGTGAAAAGTAAGTTTCAATATAAAAAATGAGCACTGGTCATGTGATCATATTGATGCGAAACCATTATGCAATTAATTGGGAAAGAAAGATTATGTTGAACATGAGAATTGGTGAGTACTATGAATTCTTAAATGGTCAAATTGAGAGGAAAATGATTCATTCTTGCCGAAGATCACATGCGCAGTCTACATAGAGAATAAAGCATGTGAGACTACACACACTATTAGTTATATGAGATTACACGCAGAATTATGTATGTGGGATTACACACATAATTAGGCACGTAAGACTACACACAGAAGTAGATATGTAGAGGTGTCGTGGTCGAGTGGATATGTTACCGGACTGTGGATCACAAGGTCCGCGGTTCAAGTCCCGCCGCGGCACTAATGTCCTTTGGCAAGACATTGATCTACATTTGCCACTCTCCACCCAGGTGTTAAAATGTGTACCCGGTAGGATGCGAAAGTTAATGAGGTTGGATTAGCAAATGGCGCTTGTAAAATGGCGGGGAGTGGATAATAATATGTTCCGCGCCTAGAAACAAAGTATTAGGCGCATTATGAGGGCACTTCTATATAGCTTTTTCGGGCATTGGTCCTGCTACGATATTCTTCTAAAGTGACATACAAACAATGAGAAAACTCACAATTTATTTTCCATCTTCAGTATAACTCAACCTGTTCTATTTCTGACCTTCGAGACAATGCACTTGAGTACACCTCGAAATGTTGATCCTATGGCGACGAATCTCCGAACGTTGCAGATGTGTGACTCAGAGATACACTGTACTGCCCTTGTATCATTGAGTGTGTGGACTTATATATGTGTTTTATCGAAATACAAATATACAGGGTAATAATTGTGCATTAACGATCATGGTAATGAAAGAGAACTAGTTTTCAAGGTAGATGAGATTCATGAACAGTACTTTGATACTAGGCATTGAGCCGCAACGGCAATCTTTCATCAAAGCCAGGGTCAGTAATTTTCTTTGTGTATGTTTTGTGTAAGTTTTAGCTTGATTGTCTTGATGGAACTATTATATTTCACTTCTTTTCATACGCTATTTAGCTCAAATCTGCTTAAAATAGTATTTCTGCTTTTTTATTGTACAGCGTTCATACCCAATTTGTATACTCCTTCAACAAGGCGCGCCAACACAAGCTCAGTCCAGAATCACCTATACTACGGAGCCCGGGAAGGGACATGGTAAAAATATTTTTATCTCGTTAAAACGAGATAGTATCTCGTTTTAATGAGATAGTATCTCGTTTTAATGAGATAGTATCTCGTTTTAATGAGAAAGTATCTCGTTTTAATGAGATAGTATCTCGTTTTAATGAGATAGTATCTCGTTTTAATGAGATAGTATCTCGTTTTAATGAGATAGTATCTCGTTAAAACGACATAGTATCTCGTTAAAACGAGATAGTTATCTCGTTTTAATGAGATACTATCTCGTTTTAACGAGATAGTATCTCGTTTTAACGAGATAGTATCTCGTTTTAACGAGATAGTATCTCGTTTTAACGAGATAGTATCTCGTTTTAATGAGATAGTATCTCGTTAAAACGACATAGTATCTCGTTAAAACGAGATAGTTATCTCGTTTTAATGAGATAGTATCTCGTTAAAACGACATAGTATCTCGTTTTAATGAGATAGTATCTCGTTTTAATGAGATAGTATCTCGTATAAGTCCATTGCATACTGGAACCGGGTGGTCCCTGTATTAAGCGGTTCTAGGACAATTACCCCCTGGGCAATCACCCCCCGGAAATTTACCCCCCGGAAAACTACCCCCGAAGGACAATTACCCCCCGGAAAATTACCCCCCGGAGAATAACCACCCGAGGACAACTACCCCCCAAGGACAATAACCCCCCGGAAAATTACCCCCCGGAGAATTACCCCCCGAGGACAACTACCCCCCGAGGACAATTACCCCCCGGAAAATTACCCCCCGGACAACTACCCCCCGAGGACAACTACCCCCCGAGGACAATTACCCCCCGAGGACAACTACCCCCGAGGACAATTACCCCCCGAGGACAACTACCCCCGAGGACAATTACCCCCCGAGGACAACTATCCCCGTGGACAATCAGGATTCAATAGCAAAAGACGATCTGATACATTGAGAGATGGCTACGAGCCTATAAGACCCCCTTCATGAACCCATATTCGCTCAAATACTAGCACGTTGTCTTCCTCGTTACTAAACATTTCCCTTTAATACATATAAGTTATACAACGGCAGTGCGGCTGCTGATTTCCACGAAGGATGTAAGTTTTAGGTAATTGTCAAGCGCTTCTCAAAATGCATAGAAATACATTTCTCTTGAGCAGCGTTATTTCAACTTTTTGAGTCATGGTACCCTCTTAAAAAATGAAAAGTTTCTCCCAAATCCCAAATTCTTCACAGACTATCTATTTTGCATGACTCAGGCACTCGCCAAGTGCTATGTTCATGGGTGTCGATCCGGGGGGGGGGGGGGGGATATCCCCCCCAAAAAATATTTCAGGTGGGGGGGGGGGTGGCCTGTCCAATCATCCCCCCCCCAACAATTCACCATACAAAAAAAATGAAGAGAAACATTAATGATGAGAGCCCGATGAGAGTAGTTAATGGTTATTACTCGCAAGATGACCATCAGTATACACATTTTGCAATCTCATTTTCATAATACATACGTAAATGAGACATCCGTATATGAAACAAGAATAAATTGAATTCTCGCTCATACGGCTTCATCAGGAATTGATCAATTTATTCAATCAACAGCATCATATAAATGCAGTGCGCCAAATGCAAAGCCGCAGCGTTAAAAAGCAACGAGCTAAATATCAAGCGCGAAGCGCAAAAGTGCAAAAAAGAAGTAGAGAGTGGGAGAGACAGAGAGGATACAGGCGCGTATACAGGCGCGCGTCAAAAACGCCGGCCAAAAAGAGAGAGAGAGAGAGAAAGAAAAAAGGAAGAGGACGTAGGAAGAAAAAAGATTAAGAGTCAAGAACGGTACAACGAATCGTCATCTTTCTCTTATAATGTAATGAAACGTCGAAGTTTCGCGTGGGAGGGGGGGGGGTTGGGGAACTGAATTTAGACAAGGATTAAGAGTCGAGAATGGTACAACGAATCGTCTTCTTTCTTTATCAATTTAATGAAATGTCAGAGCTTCCGCGCTACGCGCGGAGGAAGGGGAACTTTATTCAAACAAGGATTAAGAGTCGAAAACGGTACAACGAATCGTCTTCTTTCTCTAATAATTTAATTAAAGGTCAAAAGAAATTGAATTTAGACAAGGATTAAGAGTCGAGAACGGTACAACGAATCGTCTTCTTTCTCTAATAATTAAATGAAACTTCAAAGCTTCCGCGCTTCGCGTGGGACGGGGAAACCCCCCCTCCCTGCAGCCACCCCCTTTAGGGAGCGCGCTTCGCGTGCTCACTACCGCCCCCCTAAAATAAAATCCTTGCTACGCGCTTGAGAGGATAATAACCCAAGTTGCAAGCCCACATGGGTCCCATATTCTCTGAAATGTTATCTTTATTGAGGGTGACTTGAAAAAATTAATAACTTGTAAGGGAGGGGGTGCAACCTGCCACACACTTCTACCTCTTGGTTGCTTTTATCCATTGCCGAAATTATTTTGGCACCTATCACCCCCCCCCCCCCCCCAACCACGGAGGGACCAACAATGACGGTCGCATACTACCGGGTACCCATTTAACACCTGGGTGGAGAGTAGCAAGTGCAGGTTAATATCTTGAAAAAGGATATTAGTGCCGGTGTCGTGATTCGAACCCTCGACCTGCGCATATCATACTCCCGCATGACAACATAAATATATAGATAACAGAAATATATAGATAACGTGAAGAAAACCTTAATTTCGGATCATGGTCGAGGGCCCATTATACAAAGACAAATACACGATCAGCTTAAAAAGTGACAGAGGATGCGTAAATGAAATATTACATCCTAATTTCTTTGTTTTGCCATTTTGTTGGTGAGAGAGGCTGTAAGGCGTACTCATCTGCGCGCAATGTATTATTGAATTTCTTTAAAAAATGTAATTTCTGTTATTTACTCGGTAGCAAAACTTCGGGAGAATTGGGCAACTCCCAACCCCCCCCCCCCCCACATCGAAGTGAATAACTTGAAAACACTGAAATGAACTTCACAAATAACATAGAAATTGAAAGTTTATGAAATTTTCTATAAAGAGCAATTTGGAGAGAAGCTCGCATTATTTGTCACAGTGTTACAAATTCCTCGGGGGTGATTGTCATCGGTGATAGTTGTCCTCGGAAGAGGGGGGTAGTTGTACTTGGGGGGAATTGTCCTCGGGGGGTAATTGTCCTCGGGGGTAGTTGTCCTCGGGGGGTAATTGTCCTCGGGGGGTAGTTGTCCGGGGGGTAATTTTCCGGGGGGTAATTGTCCTCGGGGGGTAGTTGTCCTCGGGGGGTAATTCTCCGGGGGGTAATTTTCCGGGGGGTTATTGTCCTTGGGGGGTAGTTGTCCTCGGGTGGTTATTCTCCGGGGGGTAATTTTCCGGGGGGTAATTGTCCTTCGGGGGTAGTTTTCCGGGGGGTAAATTTCCGGGGGGTGATTGCCCAGGGGGTAATTGTCCTAGAACCGCTTAATACAGGGACCACCCGGTTCCAGTATGCAATGGACTTATACGAGATACTATCTCATTAAAACGAGATACTATGTCGTTTTAACGAGATACTATCTCATTAAAACGAGATAACTATCTCGTTTTAACGAGATACTATGTCGTTTTAACGAGATACTATCTCGTTTTAACGAGATACTATCTCATTAAAACGAGATACTATCTCATTAAAACGAGATACTATCTCATTAAAACGAGATACTATCTCATTAAAACGAGATACTATCTCGTTTTAACGAGATAAAAATATTTTTACCATGTCCCTTCCCGGGCTCCGTACCTATACACATAGGTTGGCCAACATAGTTTCATGTGCTCACAAAATGGGTTTTTTGTTATTTTGTGCTTGCTCAACAGAGCAGTGAACGTCATATTGTGCCCAACTCAAATAGGGTTAGCAAAACTTTCCTAATCAATGGCTCTTGCCATATCAAGGAGCTTCGAGAAATAATGCGAAAGGTATATTTATTGCAATACTCTTTGGATTATCTAAAGAAATAATTTTCGATGACTGCAATATTTCATGCAAAATGTTACTTGAATCTTCCTGTCTTCTTTACCCTGTTATATACATATTCATAGCAATGGCAAAACGTATTGCAGAATAAATTTAAACACAAACAATTGCATAGGGAATAATTTTGTACAGTTAAGGCATATTACTGGTCAGTTGCTTTCCTCGCCTCTCTCCAAAGTCACTCTTTTTCTAAGAGAAGAATTATGCAGAGAACACAGGACACCAACAAATGATGTAAGGCAACATTACTTTGTTCAACGTAATGTTTTTACAAAATTACCCGTTTCTGGTGTTGGTAAGCACCATCACAACAATTTAGCACAAAACACAAGTCACCAAAACTTGATGTGAGGGTAAATTGCTTAACTCAAGGCAATATCTTTATATATTACCAGTGTCATGCGTGGGTTAGCCCCATTACAACTCTCTTAACACAGAACATAAGCACAACACTCAAGACACCAATAATTGATGTGAGGATAAATTGGTTTGGTGTTATTATAAAGGTTACGTAGGACATAACAACTGGTGTGTAAAAAGTGTTCTTGAATGATCAAATTGAGAGGAAATTTCTCATTCTTGCTGAAGATCTCATACTCTACACATATAATTAGGTATGTGAGATTACATACAGAATTAGGCATGCGAGATAACACATGGAGTTATATATGTAAGACTACAGACACATCCTACATTGGTTCGAGCTAGTTCTTGTCAAATTTCGAATATGAGCACACTTCTATAGGTTTCAGGGGAAAGTTCATGTACGATTTACTTACATTCAAGACAATGCATTTACTTATACCTTGAAATGTTGATCCTATGGCGAAGAACGTCGCAGATGTGTGCCTTAGAGATACACAGTAATTTTATCAGTGAGTGTGAAGACTTGAATATGTTTTTTTTTAATCGAAATACAGCTATACACACAGTATGAATTTTGCATTGACGATCAGGATAATAGAAGATTACTAGTTTCCACGGTAGATGTGATTCATGAATAGTACTTTGATGCTAGGCATTCGACCGTAACATCAATCCAGGATAAAACTATTATATTCCACTTCTTTTCATACGCTATTTAGAAGAAATATGCTTTAAATAGTTTTCATGTCATTGTTCTGCGGACATTCCAAATATGTATTACCCCTGAACACTGCTAAAGGCGTGCCTACACAGCTCAATGTAGAGAGTTTGGCCTTCTCAGTTTGGCCAGAAAGTAGAGCTTGAAGTCTCCGTAGTCAATGTCATCCAGACCCAGATTTATAAAAATCATCTGGGCCCTTGACAACCTTGCTCTCTTCATTGTTCATCTTGGAGGAAATGTTCCCATTTAACAGCATTCTATTCTTTAATGTTGTGCTTTCCCAACAAAGCAGGGGTTGTCATATTGTGCCCAACTCAAATAATGATAGCAAAACTCTCCTTATCAAAGGCTCTAGTTATTTTAAGGAGATCGATGAAATAATCCAAAAGGTACTAGTTACTGCAATACCCTTTGAATTATTTGTATGACTAATTTTGGATTAATCAGGTACAGTATCTCATGCACGGTGCTATTTAAATTTTCCTTCTGTTGTATTCTTCGCCATCTTCTTTACCCTGTTATTTACGGGTTCATATCATTAGCAAAATGAACTGCACAAGTATTTGGAACACAAGGAAAGGAAAAGTGAATCCTCTCGTAAAGTTTGGGCATTCTGCTGGTAAGTTGCTTTCTTTGCCTCTCGGCACTGTCGTTCATTTGCCAAATGAACAATTTTGCACAAAACACAGAGGACCAACAATTGATGTGAGGGTGAATTGCTTTATTCAACGCAATGTCTAAACAGATTACCCGTTTCTGGTCTTGGTTAACTCCATTACAAGCCTTTTAACACAGAAAATTTCAATACAATAAACAAGCCCCCATCAATGGATGTAAGGGTAAATTGCTTTCTGCATGGCATTTTATTATAATTATCCGTTTCCGGTCCCGGTTAGCCTCACTACATTCCTTTTTTAACACAGCAAACTTAGAACAAAACACGAAGCACCAATAATTGATGTGATAGTAAATTCTATTTTTAAACGCAATATCTTTACCCTGTTATATACATATTCATACCAATGGCAAAACGTATTGCACAACAACTTTAAACACAAACAATGCATAGCGAGTAATTTTGTACAATTTAGGCATATTACTAGTCAGTTACTTTCCTCGCCTTTCTCCAAGGTCACTCGTTTGCTAAGAGAAGAATTATGCAGAGAACACAGGACACCAATACTTGATATAAGGGAACATTACTTTGTTCAACGTAATATATTTACAAATTACCAGTGTCTTGTGTGGGTTGGCCCCATTACAACCCTCTTAACACAGAACACAGGCACAACACTCAAGACACCAATAATTGATGTGAGGATAAATCGGTTTGGTGTTATTATAAAGATTGCGTAGGATATGACAATCGGTATGTACTACGTGTTCCTGAATGATCAAATTGAGAGGAAATTTTCTCATTTTTGTATTTTTTTGTTATTGAAAATAAAACACAACGACATCGCATACAGTAATAACATATCAATAAAGTAAAAGGATGTATACAGAACACGGTACAACACAGGACAATACAACACAACACAGCACAACACAAATGCCTCATTCTAGCCAGTTACATTTGTGCATATCTAAAGCTTACCCTGACATGCTTAAAGGTTGTATATTATGTAAGAAAACCGAGACTGAACTCGTCAAGGAGAGGCTTTACTGAAATAAAGTAATATTAACAATATAATAACATAATTGACAATAAGGAAGTAAAACAATTATTAAATACCAGGGGACGAAAATTCTACAAGAAAGAAAGTGACCATTTCCTAAAGTGGGAAATCGGTTTACCTTTCTTCTCTGCTATTTTATATTCAATTTTCTGTTTCATTTTTACAAAAGAAAGGAAGCCCTTAAAATATAATTCTACCTCTTGAAATTTACCTCGAATAATATAAAATTTGAGGAACAGGAATAATAATTAAAAAAATAATACAAACATCATGCCTGCCACCGATATCAATACCAAATATATGAGCGAACAGAGTAAATCGTTGTCTCCTTCGTCATATTATCAATATAATCTGCAAGCTTTGTCCACATTGAAGCAACTACTGTGCATTTACAAAATATATGAATCAAGGTTTCAGGAAGCTCCTGACAGAAGTAATACAAAGGACTATCCCTGCATTTGAAATTATTTTTGTGTATAACAGACCATTCAATTTCATCTCTATCCAAACCAAGCCACTCTTCCCACTTATTACCAATCTTGGCCTGGAATGATTTATCTTTGTTACGTAGTACCGAATAAGCATAGCTATAGGCACTTTCAACTTCCTTAGTAACTCAAGAACGATCTTATCAAAAATATTCTCATGAACATCTTGATGATCAATAAACCAATCTTAATATAACGCATTCATCAGGGAATCATACTTGCGTTGGTCAGTTATTGGGATATCAAATTCTACAACCAAGTCTTCAAAAGTTTTCATAATATTACAACCCCGATTACAAAAATAATTAGGTATGTGAGAATACATACATAATTATATGTTAGAGAATACACTCATGATTTGTGTATGGCAGATAACATACATAATGATGTATGAGAGATTACACACACGATTACATATGAGAGATTATATACATAATTAGGTATAAGAGATGTCATTCATAATTAGGTATGTGAGATTACATACATAATAATTAGGAATATGAGATTACATACATAATAATTAGGAATATGAGATTACACAAATAATTAAGTATGACAAAGTACATTAGCAATTACGTTTGAGAGATTAAATACAGAATTAGGCATGTGAGACTACATACACAATTATGTATGTGAAACAACACACACATTCGACATCGGTCCAAACGGTTGAGCTAGTTCTTGTCAAATTTCGAATATAAGTGCACTTCACTAGCTTTTCAGGTACCAGCCATCTTTATCATAACTCGATCTTCTCCTTAATAAGAAGTACTGTTCTATTTCTTACCTTCAAAACAATGTACTTAATCACACCTCGAAATGTTGATCCTATGGCGACGAATTTCCGACCGTTGCAGATTTGTGACTCAGAGATACACTAGTGTCCTCTTATCAGTGAGTGTGTATACTTGAATGTGTGTTTTATTGAAATGCAAATACACAGGGTAATAATTGTGCATTAGCAATCATGATAACGAAAGAGAACTAGTTTTCGCGGTAGATAATATTCGTGAACCGTACTTTCTCAGACTATCACACCAGTAAAGTCGATGTCCTGTGATAAAGATACGAAAGTAAAACGTGGGCCTGTAATAGCTTACTATTACAGGCCCATTATTAATGGTAATAATGATAGAAGCAATGAATAGTCAAACGTTTGTCAGTGACCACCTGGCTCAAGCCCCAAAAATCATTTATCTGCCGCGGCTGTTTTCTTTACCCCTCTTAATATTTCATTTCCCCCCCCCATTTCTTGGTGTTCAATTGTTTATTAGCTTGTTCGTTTTTGTACTGGTTTGAACTATTTACGTTTTTATCAAGATGAAGAAACGTAGCCTCTTTGACCACAGCTACACTTCTGATCTGGACATCTCTGTCAGCTAAATCATTCACTGAATTTGCTCAGGGCCTCCTGTATATATCATTCTGTAAATAGAACAATTCTTATACAAGAGTATGATACTTTAAACTTATCTCTTGAGCCTCGTTTGTTTACTGGATTTCTGGTGTCCAGATACTGGTATATTTCATATAGCCTTGAAGAAAAGTAAAAGAGAAACCCAGAACCTGAAAATTAAACAATTTTGGTGTAAATCTGGATTTCTGCTGTCCGGATTGAAATTTGTTATATTACATTGCTTGCGGGCAAGCCTGAATTCGATGACCGGAGTGATAATACATGGATGAACCACTATTTGTGCCCAGACTATCATTATAATTATTCACATGTTTTGGTGTTATTTTTGTCGGTTCACTTCTTATGACAAAAAATCTACGATCCAAACAATTCTCTTCAACCAAAAGTGAATGTATGTAGACATAAACTGAAATGATAGAACGATTAAGCAGTGTGAGGTACCACAAACGCATTCTCTTTCTGCTAATCCACGTAATGTCAGTCACATTTGTAAAGCAGTTAATACTACGTTTCTCAATGGTTTAAATTGTTATTATTGTTATCCAGGTCATTGGATTCGACTAATAATTCACAAATGTCTACGGTTGTAATTTGTGTTATTATGTTTCTATACCAAAGCCTACATGTATACCATTTTGAACTCATTCCTATTGTGTGTTGTTTTTATTCCTGGTTTAGTATTTTGTATAAATTGACAGTACATATATGTTAATTGATGTTATATATATTGAAGAAACAGCTGGAAAACGATTTGTATGCCTTGTAACTGTGCATGATCAATAAACTTGAACTTGAATGATAGTGTACACGCTCTGTTCCCAAAAAATATTCCAGCCAAGTGCCATTTTCAAGCATAGACACGCCAATACAACCATATTGCACTGATTATTAGTAGCCGAAGCCATGGGAGACGGGATAATGCTTTCCAAGCATATTGAAGGTGTTGTACTTTCGGTTCGATTTTCACTATACAATTAAAATGGAGTGTCAATATGCATGTGAACGGAACCCTAATGGAAAGCGCGTTTTATATCATAAAGTAACCGAGAAAAGATATGATTATTACTTTATTGGCATTGAAAAGGAGCAGAAAATATGTGGCATTTGCGATTTTATGGTTAAAACTAGAAACAAACTCTGGCCACTGAAGAGGAGTAAACGGTTCATACAAGATTCTTTTTTTTTTTTTTTTAATTTGTATTGAATATGAAGAATTCGTTGCTCCATTTCCTCCACTTGGTTGGTTATTTTGGCCTATGCTACGGTAAGACACTTCGTTTTCAAAGATTTGATAATGAGAAATCTGGAGCTGTATGCTAATTAAAGCAGAAATGCGTTAAAACAACAACTATAACAATAACTGCAATTTTATTAGCAACAGTAACAAGGATGCTATGATGTATTCGATTTACAGAGTGAGTCAGAAAAAAATGTCCCATTTTTAAAAAGTTTTATTGTTTAAAATATGAATATTTAATCATGGGTTTCATGATATGTCTTGATAGAGTTATATCCTCCAAGTACATCATAGTACCATTTTCAGTTGAATCTCTGCGTGCATGACTGACATCAGACAATCTTTACAAGACTGCCAGATCTCACTTGCACCAAGTTACTGGGTGAGTCATTACTATCAATCACAGCAATGTATTCAATGTATTCGATGTCAATAATTTGGTCAAAAGAAATTCGTAGTTTTTAGGAAATCTAAACATAACAACCTTAATCATTATTTAACGTCATGACGTGAAAACGTTGAGCAGTAATTCGGAATTACGTTGTTTAGTAATTCGAATTACCACACTACGTAAGTAATTAGGTAGTGTGGTAATTCGAATTACTACACAACGCAATTATTTATGTTGTGTGGTAATTCGAATTACCGCACGACGTATATCCATGTTTTTGACGGTCTCCTGCTTCAATACTCTTCAACACACACACATACACACGGTTGCATTAACGAATGATTTTGAAACTAATTTTCCTGAAAAGTGTGGGAGAAAACCTGGACAGGCCACCCTCTCCCTGAAAAGTTTTTGTGTTGGTACGTGAGTGTAGTGTTGGTCTGGGGTTGTTTCACAAAGATCCTACGTAGAACTTATCTCTAAGTTGGACTTAAAATTTATGGACTAAGCAGAAATTCAAGTAATTTAGACTTTTTATAAATTCCACATCCAGAACATGAAATCTCTTTGATGATAGAAAACATGAATGATTTGAATCAACATTTTATGCCTTTCAAAAAAACTTTTACAAAATATTTCCAAAGATGCTAACGGCTTTCCATAATTTTTAAGTCCAACTTAGAGATAAGTTCAACTTAGGATCTTTGTGAAACACCCCCCTGGAGGTATTACTAAGGTATTTGATACTTTATGAAATCATACCATCACACGGTCCAATGTTTCAGGGCTCGGGTCAGCTGGCCTCACAGTACGGTTCTGCAATCCACCTAGGACGAATGGTGTAACGACAGTAATATAAATCGCAACACGGATGATCAAAAGATTGCAATGATGAAGATGATGGTGGTGTCGATAGTGATAAAATGATAATAATAATGATAACGATCATCATCAAGACCATCAATATACTACACGTACTACCAATAACAAGTATAATAACAGCAACATTTATGTTTTTGGTGCTAAAACTAAATCTATATTGTAGAAAGTTTCAGGACTAACTTTTTTAGAAAGAAGATGTATCACCATCGAAACAAAATGTAGAATAATTTAGGGGATTTGCTATCGGGAAGGTGTCCTTTAAGAAATAATAACTAAAAGCATAACTGAATTTAGTTCGAACTAATCTTGACAGTAATGTTTAGGGTCGTGAAATAGATTAATATGGTCTCTTAATCATTTCAGAAGAAGCATTGACAGAATATATGATAAATATCAATGTGCTTTGCTCCATTTTCAAATGAAAATAATGTGTTTTGCTTCTTTTTGAAAAAAAGATTCCCCTAGATATGAATACCTTACCATGAGATGTTGAGGAATGACTTTGTCCTGCTGTACAATGTTGTCCAGTGGAATCTATGATAGCGAGAAGAAAACGACAACATAATAACAAAGACTTTCGAGAAATTAACTCAATGGTAATTACTTTCAATACCCTAATGGGTTTTACGGAGATGACTGGGGAGGGAGGGAGGAGGGGGAGGGAGGTGGTCATTGCCACTCATGCCCGCTTTTATTCCGGAACCCTTTTAATATAATGTATATAATCACATACACACACACACATACGGTATATACATTTATTTAATTTGTTTGAATGAATTTATATCATTTATGTGTGTGTGTGTGTACGTGTGTGCTAGGGTGGTGTGTGTGTGTGTGTTTGGGATAAGAACTCTTATATCACAAAGAGCTCAAAACGGTACGATACAATTAACAGAATGTAATAATATATATTCTAAATGACATAAAACTTCCCTGCACATGTTTCGGTTATGATATGTATTTCCTAAACACGATAGATGCGGGTACTTGGCCTGTTGTATGACTAATACATTTTCCCGCATAATAGCGACCTACTCCTCATTTTGAAGATAATTGATTACACATGCAGGATCTCATTAAGCAAAATAATGTCTTGTTTTTTTTGTTCTCATTCATGAAAAAACCTTGCTTTCTGCAATAAGAAATGACATATGAACATAATCGAAATGATATAAGGACCGTTCGATGATGTTAGAACAAACACTATCATGCTGATGTATCCTTTCAATGTTATTCATTCGACATGTACTAGAATTTGAATCTCATTTATTGGGGAGGAAGAAGAAATGAAGTGGGTTAAGCTGCAATGACATTTAGGAGGTTTTAAATGTTTTACTTTTTTTAATTTAGCGAGATATTTTCATTTGATTAAAAAGTGAACCTTATCTGGAATACTCGTTACTGCATTTTCTATAATTACTGAATCGAGTCCGCTTCTGAACAAGCATAATAGCTAGCCATCTGCACAACGGCGGCATGGATGGCGGGGAAATACTTCTTTGTGATGCCATGGTCTCCGTATGCCGAAAGCATCCAATTAATCATTAAAGGGAAAGTCCACCCCCAAAATAAGTTTGTTTCGATAGAGGCAGAATAATAAGAAAATCAGGTGAGTGAAAGTTTGAGCAAATTCTGAATGAAAATAAGAAAGTTATGAATTATTGAAGTTGTGATCAATCAAATACAAATTGGCAACTCTATGACGTATCATGCGAGCTCAACTTCCATTTGCTCAGTACTAAAAAAATGTAAAATTTTCATTTTCCCTCAAGAAAAATTTCAACCATACATGCACCCTAAATATAATAATTTCAAATATGTTTCTATACTCCCCCTGCAAGGAACAAATATATATTCCGTCATCAATAACGAAGAAAACATGATTTTATGGAATATTATGCACGAAGCAAATGAAGGAGAGCTCGTATAATAAGTCACAGAGTTGCCAATTTGTATTTGATTGATCACAAATTCAATAATTCATAACTTTCTTATTTTCATTCAGAATTTGCCCAAACTTTCACTCACCTGATTTTCTTATTATTCTGCCTCTATCGAAACAAACTTATTTTGGGGGTGGACTTTCCCTTTAAGAGGAAGGACCCCTGCTAATTACTAGCCACGTACAATA